GATTGCATCATAAAGGTCCCTGAGTTGCTTGTACCATGGTTGTAAAGTTGATGCTTTAAAGCTGAAAAATCACTTGAAGTCAGAAGCGAGTTAGTGAAATATGGCTTCTAATCACCAAATTACCACGTGATTTTCAGTTAAACATGATTAGCAAAGATGTTTTAATCATTTAGAGTGTCAAAACACATCATTTGGATGAGTTTTGATGCACATGTGATCACACTTTGCTCATGAGGCAGGTGTGCACAAATTCGATTGAAATTGCATCATTCACCCCTCCTTTTGATTTTATACACTTCTCCTATAAATATATACCATATTTCACTCATTTCCACAAGCTTTAGAGAGCCAGAAAACCCCTTGTCAAACTTCCTCCATACCTCTCAATTATGCAACTTCAAATTCAATTCTAAAGCACTTCCAGTTCTAAATTCTTGACCTCTCCACCTCCACTGAACCTCAATGAAGCTAACCACGTCAAAAACAAGCCAAGTCATCCATTGAATCGAGCTATCCAAATCCATTTTCAGAGCAAACTTCTCTTACTTTGTTCAGGTAGTTTTCTTAACCAAATTGATCCAAACAAGTTACTAATTTGTTGTCCTCCTTCTTCTGATTCTCATGCTTCTTCTGGTTTGTGATTTCACGGAGAATTGAGCATTTAATTTACAAACTCATTTTCACTTTTTCTTCTGTTTTTTTGCAAATCGACTGAGCTATGGTTTAAAGAAATTTTTCACGAGGGTGAGGTTAGGATCGTCTAGAAGAGACGAATCTAATGATACTGGTTTGAGCTTCAAACGATTCCGTTTGAAGGATCTCATAAAAAGATAACGCGTAGGGGTCTGGAGGTTAAAGACGACCTACATGTTATTCTTCAACCAATGATACACGGCCAAGTGTTTTAATCTGATTGGCCTGCCTTTTGTGTATGGTATGTGCGCACATTAACTTGGATCCATCGTAATCCATCATCTGAGGGCCCTTGGATTTGCCAGCGTGAATAAGTGAGTCCAGATCCAACACGCCACATTATTTAGCATTTTATTTTATTTTATTATTTGATTTTTGTTTTAATTATTTTAAACTTCAAAAATTCATAAAAAAATAATTTCAACTTCTAAAATTGTGAAAAAATTATCAAAAATACTTCTGATTTTTCTCTTTCTGGTTTTTATTTTTTCAAAATTTTATTTTGTGATTTGGTAGTTTTTTATGATTTTCTCTTTATTTGACTTGTTTTAATTGTTTAAAAATACTTTTCTTGATTTTAAAATTTTAGAAAAATTATGGAAGGATCCAATGACCTCTTGACAAATATTGGTGACCTCATTTTATTTTTATTTTTGATTTTACTATTTCTCACAAATTTTGATTTATTTTGATTATTTCTTTAAATTTTAAAAATAGTTTTTGACTTTAAAAAATTCTGAAATATTTTGTCAAAACATCGAAAAAGTGTTTGAGTGAAAGTGAGAGGAGTCTCTTATTCAGGGGGACTGAACAAAGCCTCACGAATAGTGTTAGAAAAGTGGCCTTGAACTGGGAGAATTTAGAGTAAGCCCATTTATCCTTCTGACTATTGTAAATGGAATAGTTATATAGAGAGTCCTGAATAGAAATTGACGGGTAGTATTAGAAAGAAAGACATTGACAAGAGTTGTTTATCTAAGATTATTTGTACTTTTACTATTGAGAGTGAATTTCCTTTCTTGGGTTGGAAGCCTCCCAGACATAGGTGATATTGCACCGAACTAAATTATTGATTCCTTTGTGTTCTATATTACTTTACGATTTATAATCTTGTTTTTGTCAAACTCTTATAAGCTTGTTGTACACAGTGTCCCAAATATTATATCCAATATATGTCCTACGAAGAACATAATTTCACTAATCGATTAGGAATTGAACTCGCTCCTTAATTGATTAGATGAAATCTATAATCAATTAGACAATGATTTTAACATTCCTAATTGTCAGAATTGCTTCTTAATTGATTAACCACCTATAATAATTGTTTTTTAGAAGAAATGTGAAAAAAACAAGAGTTCAAAATAATTTTAGTGCATGTGTGCATCGCCTAACTTCTTCAAGACACGCTCTAGCTTAAATTACATACAACTAATCAAATACAAGATTAAAACACTAAGTGCGGGATCAGGCGAGTTTTCACAACTTCAGTTCCTCTTGTTTGATTTATTTGATTCTTTTTACCTCTTCATAGATGATCTTGGATGCTCTGCTTTTAACTTGTTTCTTGGCTGATGATACTTGCGATTTAATTTTTTCTTGTTTAGTTGCCATTATCAAAATCTTAAAAGACTTTAATATGCACAACACATAGAATCACATTTCTCATAATTTCCCCCGTTTTTACGTGTTGGCACATAAGTCCATGTTATTTTTTCTATCCTTTTTTTCAATACACAACTCTAATAAAAATAATTTTGTTTGTTGAGTTAAACATTAGTAGATGAAAATGATCTAATATCATATTAACATTAGAGACTCATACCAAAAGGAGAAAAAAATAGAAAAGAAAAAGCGATTAAAGTTTCATTAGGACAATAAAAATTATTTCGTCGCAATTACAATAAAAATTTATTACAACAACAACAATTAAGCCTTATCTCACTAGGTGGGATCAGCCACATGAGTCAAGTTTTACCATAATATTCTATTAAAGGACATGCTTCTATTAAAATCATTAATCTGATGAATTTTTTAAATAATTTCTCTTATAGTTTTTATGGGTATTCCTTTCTTTGAACTGTTTTCCTTCTCTCCATCTAGTCTACTATTCTTATTATAAAATCTATAGGTCTTCTCTCTACATGTCCAAACCACCTAAATTTATTTTCTACCATTTTCTCTACTATAGGCGTTACCCTGACATTCTCTCTAATATCTTCATTTCTAATTTATCCTATTGAGTCTTATCACTCATCCACCGCAACATCCTCATCTCTATTACACTTGTTTTATTATCTTGATTCTTAACGGCCGAATATTTAGTCGTGTACAAAATTGTCGGTCTTACCAAAATCTAATCAAACTTTCCCTTCAGCTTAAGGGATACCTTTGCATCACATAAAATACATGTTTCCTTTCTCCATTTCAACCACTCAACTGAAATTGGATGATTTACATTCCCTTTTATTTATCCATCATTCTATATTACAGACCTAAGATATTTAAACAATGTGACTTAAAGAATAATATGGTCTCCAACTTTCACTTCTGGGTTAAAAATATTTCTTCTTTTGTTGAACTTACATTCCATATACTTTGTCTTACTTCTACTTAAGTGGAAACCTATTGATTCACACGTCTCTTTAGGAACTTTTCTAATCTCTTAGGCCATCTTGTTCTACATATCATTTGCACTTTCTTGTGGTTGTCCAAACTCTCATTCCAAGATCTTGTGTTGGAAAATTTCTTGCTTTCACCCTTCAAATGCTACCACTTGATATGTGGTGCTACCATATGACTTCTTTTCTTTGCCCTCTCTTTAATTTTTACATCCATAACGAAAACTCTATATTTGATAGTCAAGCTCTCTCCCAAAAAACTCTACAATCCAAGCAAATCTTCCTATTGATAAGTTATTGATAAGAAAGAAATCTATCTGACTTCTTGGTAAGAAAGAAATCTATCCGGCAACATGGTACCCCACTTTTATATGTAATAAGATGTTCATCTCTTTACCTAAACCATATAGTTGCTATAATAAAATCCAAAACCGGCGAAAACTCCAAGATAGATTTACCCTCCACATTCACCTCCCTTGGACCAAACCTTTCCATGCACATTCTCAAAACCTCTTGCCACATTACTTACATGTCTATTGAGAATTTGAGATCCCCTCCTAAAAAAAAGTCTCTCCTGAAATAAATCTTCTAAATCTTTCCAAAATTTTATCTTAAAATGTTCAGCTAATCCAAAAACAAAAATATATTCAACCTCCAACCTTCTAAAAATTCATTACATATAAACAAAAACAACGAAACAGATTCAGCCTCCAACCAACAACTCCTAATACTAGATCACCTTGATATTGAAGACTAACTACTAACAGCTGCAAGATCACATGTTGGCACCTCTCTTGAACACAACCTCATCAAATCCTTACAAAACATAAACAAATACATACAATTAAAAAAAAAAATGAAACAACCACAATCACAATCACACCAACATCATATCTGCATCACCTGGACGACAAGGCCTCACTCACATATTCATGTTCATCGTATAAGCCTAAAGACTAACTTATGCTTCCCAACCAGCAACACACCCATCAGCTCCATTACAATGTTGATTCTATATTCATTGTTCCTTCAATAAGATGAAAAATAATACCAGATTGCAAAATGCCGCATCAATAATAATTGTGCTTGTATTTCTTACATATCTTTATATCCAATCAACTTTCCACATATTATAGTGGACAAAGCATTTTTAATAGAATCAGAATAAACAAGTTGGGCATATGAACATCTCGCAAATTGATGATTTTTACAAAACCAAATGTTCCTTCCTAAAGAAATTCCATTTTTTTTAATATAATAAAACTCTAATTCAATATATAATATATAAATGATAGAGCTGATACAGCACTATAATCCGCCGTTGTTTGAACAATGAACGAAAAACAATGCGCAGAAAGAAAATGGGTTACTTTTATATTTTGTTTGGAAGGTTTGAAAAAAAGGTAAAAAAAACGTATAATCTTCAATCCAATCATTTGATTAAAATATAAACCGATAATTCAAAAATATTTTACACATTTCTAATCACATTTTGTAATCTTGCCACAATATTAATAGGATTTTCTTATTTTCTAATATAAAATTAAATTGTTTAAATGTTCATTTAATACAATCCTCAAGATCTAGAAAATGTTGCCTTTTTCTATCCAAAAAGAAAATCTTGCCTTTCGATCTTTGATGCTATCTTCTTTCCATTTACAAAAGACTACAGCCGACAAGAGACAGGTTCTAGAAGTCTGAATAATAAATACAAACTAGACTTGAGTGTGTTATAGGGGTGCGGCAAAGAGGGCACTCTGGCTTTTCGTTGCACCATTCTGTAATACAGTTCCTACATAGATCACATCAAACCGAAGATGAGAGACAGAAACAGGCGGTTAATGTGAAAAGGCCGTAACTAAGAACGCAAGAAGAAAATACCAGCAAAATACATGGCCACATGAAGTAGCTGTGGGGTGTTGGCGATTACTCAAGCAAAGCGCGCATTTGCTAACACCACTGGTTGCATGATGCTGCAATAGAAAATAGATTCATCAAAACACGCATGGTGCAACTAAGAAGGCTGCAAAGTGTTGGACCCACCTCAGAAGATGAAGATCCAGAGACCCAACTTCCCTCGTCAGCTTCTGGAGATGCCAAATTACCTTCTTCATTTAGAACAGGCAAACCGTGTCCTATAATACATCGCAACAGAATCAGGTTATGACAAAAACTAGAATAAATCCACAACTCATACGTCCAAAGTAGGGTGCACCCACATTAGTTGGCCAAATACTTTTTTTTACAAACTTAGTTTCTCAAATATTGAAGTACCACCATCTTTGACAGTACCGAGTTTTTTTACAATTAGCCCCTCAGAGATACACCATCGTCACCAAATTCTTCTCGGTAAAGCTTTAAAGTGGTGACACAAAATGATGGATTTGGTGACAATCATGTATCGTTTAGGGGCTAATATCATGACAGTTTAACCTTTGAGACACTGATTGGATGATAAAATTGGATGACTAATGTGATAATGATAGAAATACAAGTGTGGAAATGGGCCTTGACTATGGGCCCAAGCCAAAAATATGGAGAGTTTATACTAGGAAGAAAGGGAAAGGGAAAGAATGATGAGGTGTCAGCTGGTGCTTGGGAAGCATGAGTTTAGTATCTATATATAAGTAATAGCAAGTGAGAGAATAAGGTAGCTAATGAGAATTCTGTTATTTTGTGGGGTCACTTGGTTAGTGATTTGGGCGCACTACGTGTGTGAGGACTGATAGTATCTCACTATTAGTTGGTTATCTTTTTCATTACCCTTTATTCTGTAATTGTGTCAACACCATTAATACAATTACAAGCTTTCATCATACTTTAATTCCTACTGTTACTGTTCTAATCAAATATTCACATACTTACCCATCAGATAACAGCCTAATATTTGGAGGAATGGATTGAAGGTTTATTCGAAAACTAATTGACAAAACAAGAAAATATCCAGAGCACATTGTTAGACACAATTTAAGAAAAGGGAAATGAGAAACATGTCTAAATAAATAATGAATTAAAATAATTAGCTGAGAAAAAGTTATAACCTGCTGATGTATTGTGGGTTGCAAAGGATGCCTGATGAACTGAACCAGCAATTGATGTAAAATTTCTTCGACGAAGCGCTTCAGCAGCTATTACACAAAGTTGAATCAGCAGAAATACTCCCAATATTTGATATCTGCACAGAAGCCAAATTATTGAGAACGGGTGCTCAAAATTTAAAACTGAGAGAAGCACACAGATTAATATGCAACAATAGGGACACTTAGACCATGGGTTTAAGAAAAGGCAATCTTTGACCATGAAAGGCAAGTTTATCATTTATGATTCTTAAGAAAAGAAATCAGAGTGATTGAACAACAACACAAACTGTTTTTTTTTTGTTGCTTTTTTACACTCTTGTTCATAGGGGAATGAAGCCCTATTAATCCAGAGCTCATGAACTGAGGTATGAACACTGGCCAAGCATTGTTCCTACCAAGAATCGAACTCGGTATTCCCCAATGATCGTTCTTTGCAGGAACTCCTTTACCACTGAAGCCCAATTGCTTGGTTGACTATCCAAGATTTAGTACATGAAAGCTAGAGCTTGTTACAAATTGTAATTAAATGAAAAGAAAACAACATTACTAATAAATAACACAATGATCGTAATATGGAGTAAAACACAAACTGCTATTGAGTTTTCCTACTAAGTGGGATCGACTACACAAACCAAATGATGCCATTATATTCTATCAAGAATAGTTTTTAAAGACACCCTGTCATCCAAATCCTTCTTATTTAACCTATAGTTTTCTTTGGTCTCTCTCAACCCTTAACAGGCAGACTATCCTTTGTCTAATATATCCTCCTTACTAGTGGGCACATAAGTATTCATTCGTGCCCAAACCACCTAACACAAGATTATACCATCTATTCACAATAGCTAACTCATCTTTCTCTCCAATGCTTTCATTCCAAATCTTGTATTGTCCAGCATTACCACTTGATAAATCTACATTACGTGAATGTAGATTTATTTATATGGTTCATTTTGCTGTGAGTACGTGTGTAGGAATTTAATTAGGACTTAGATAAATTTGACTTTGATTAGTTGAATTTATTCTCCTTATGGATTGTATAAGACTTTAGGAGCTTTCTTACACATCATCATCTTAGCTACCCAGATTTTGTAGGAACAACTGAACAAGGCAAAATAGAAGTTACTGAAACAGCACCCGACATGATAGATTTAGAGGTCAGCATCAATATCCCTGGATATCAACTTTTGCTTTGGGAGGATTAGTCACCAACACCTAAAGCTTACACATAGCATTTCCTTGGATTTTTTCCGTTGGATGTATAACAGTTAGCATTGAAAAGCCACATTGAGTAGCAAAAACTGTGTTTGCTATGGGAAAAGTTGTGCCTAGTATTAGCAAGTTGTGCCCAGCACTCAATAGAGTAATCCAACACCGCATGTCGCACATTTGGCGCCAGGATTTACTAGAACTTAGCATTGGGAACTCAGCACTCAGCACTGATAGTTTCATATTGCAACCGATATACTTGCCTAGTGGTTTTATAAACTAACACCACTCATCCAATGTAACATTTTCATCTTTACAACATTTATCTTAGTTTTCTGTGACATTTTTTATAGCTAGCATTCAATCTCATAAAACATTGAATGTCTAATATGCATCCAAGCAATAAAAAGCCTATCACAAAATACAAAAGCATTCCTCTATTTCATCAATTTTGCTTGAATCATATGACTCGCATTTCCCATCATTTTGTATAACGGATCCAAGATACTTCTACCGTGGGATAACGTGGCAAGGTATATTCCTCAATTTTCAATTTTTACATTTGAGATAGAAGTGATGTGCCCCTTCCTTGACTTATCCTCCACATGCTTTCTTTTACTTCTAACTAAACAAAAGCCGTGTAGTTCTACTTAAATGGCAAGGAAACTTTCTCATTTGATTGCCCAAACATTTTTAAAAAAATTTAAAGCTTAAAACACTATACCTGGGTCTTTGATTTGATGCTTTTCCAATGAATACATAACGAATGGCAGAAGCACGTTTGGATATATGATAATAGAGGCCTACAAAAAGAAATAATGTCATGATTTAGAAAACTTGTTTTTCCATATCTAGTAACTAAAATGAGACCGTCAAGCAAAGGATCACCTTCAAAGTAAAACAACATGAGGTTAGCACGAAGAACCAGCTGCAATAACTCACGAACAAAAGGGAGCATCTGATGGGGAGCAGATAAACTAGATTCAGTACCCAAAAAAATGCTTCCAACGAAAAATGATTACATGTACTCAGATTAAGTAATACAATACACCTCTAAAGGGCATAAGACAAAAGTTATTTATCATGTAATTTGTATTGTATCTTCCATGTAGTTTCTAAATTAAATAAAAAATAAAAAATAACGCTATATGGTTGAAACATTTTGGTAAAAAAATCATCAAGTGATTACAAAGGAAAATGTAGTAACTTCTTCATAAGTGTATTGAATGAGAAACATCAGCAGGAGTAATGTACCGTAGGCCATCTCTGAACCATATGCAACCAAAAACCACGGACTTTCTCCTTCAACCTCGTCATAGTTGAAGTAGAATGCCCTGAGGCAGACGAAGGAGCAAGTTCACTCCCGCGGGCATTTTCACCAAAAACCTCAGCATACTCGTAATCAGATAGGATAATCCCTCGGGAAGCAATTCTAGAACTGTGAAATTAACAATCAATTCATTATAAAACTAGACACATATACACACATACAACCAAGCACAAAGCTCAATCGCATCAATGATTAATTAAAAGAAACAAAAGAATAAACCTAATTCGTTCTACAATGTATGGAATCGCCGTTTGGTATACAATAAACAAAGCACGCCTGGCTGGTGTAGGAGGAAGTCCATAAGGTCCTGCAACCTAAAATTTAATCAACACAGAAATAAAATTCATCTTTTTCTCGCACGCAAAAAACAATAAATCAAACCTCCAAATTCCAATATCATTTACAAATTACAACAACAGTGTAAAATATGTAATTCACAAAATTCAAACTCGCAGTAAAATGCATTAGCAATGATGGATAAAATGAAATTACCTGAGTGATGTCACAGTATTCCTCTCCAAGTGTTTGTTGTCCAGAGCCTGTTGTGAGAACATAATAAAGCATTTGCCCTAAAAGTTTCGTCTGGAAAAGCAATTAACACCAAACCATGATTACAGTTAATTAAACACAAATAATCAAGAATATAAACAATGAAAAAGTGATTAGTGATAACCTCGTTTTGATAAGCCACCGCAACTCTAGTACCTGCAATGAGAATTTAAGATAACATCATATTACTGAAATTTGAAAGTTGAATTGTAGTTTGAAAGTTAGTTACAGAGAGAGACCGAAGAGGTGGCGGAAGGCGTCGCGACAGGCTTCGTAAACGAAAGAGGCGTACTGATCGTCTTTTTCAGCTGCTCTCATCATTTCCGGCTGGGCCGCCGACGGAAAGCGGCGTTGCTCCGCCGTGCTGGTGCTCGGACCTGCATCGGCGTCGGAGCCGTGTCTTCCAAGGTGACCCCATCCCATGGATTTTTCGGTTGACGCAGTATTAACGAAATTAGTGTTATCCCCAAACTCTTGCATCTTAATCCTTTTGTTTTTTTTTTGGGCAGAAAAAAATTCTTATGTTTTCATTTCTTAAAAAAAATTAATATTGTGTCGCTCGTAACCGGTTGTTGTATTGTTGAATTTTTTTTTTTTTTAGTTGTGATAAAAAATTAATAAATATATATAATCATATAAAAAAATGATAATTTTAGAAATTATTGACAGGGAATTTCTTTTATCATCTAGTGATCTTCTTTTAGATCTATGCTGAAAATTTTTAAATATTTTTAGATTTTGCATGTGCAAATGCGAAAGTATTTTATTATATAATAATAGGTGATTTCGCATGTACATCTTCGAATTAATCTATATTTTGTTAAAAACAAGGTGACTTCGCATGCATCTGCGAAGTTATCCATAATTCCTCCTTTCGCATATGTACATGTGAAGTCTGAATTGTATTCAACTAAACAAACAAAAAAGATCTCTTAAACCATTTTTTATTGAAACACCAAAACTTTTTATTTTCTTCTCCAAACCATAACATTTCTACTACCCAAACTCACTCATTTTTGCACATCTCTCCATTTCAACTCTTTTCAAGTCATCCCAAATTATCTCCAAGCTTTCAAATTTGTGTAAGTTTTCTCCAAATTAATTTGATTCACAATGCAATCTTGTAATAATTTATTATGTTAGTTACATTGTGTATGTTAGTGTTAGAATAGTAAAATGTAGTTGCTTGGGTGAAAAAAATGACATTTGGGTGTTTTAGGGCAAGAAGCAGCAACCATGACAATTATAATTATTTATTTCAGAAACATGGCTGACAACCAGGACCCGAACAGGCAGTTGAGACAAGGTAGACCAATCCAGACTGTCTCGACTCGTCAAGAGAGAACTAAGCAGCAGGTTAACCCGCCTCGAGGACGGGGTCGAATACAAATTGGATGTAGCTTCCCCTTCTGCATTGAGGAGTCATCTGTATCAGGCGTCTATCTCTCGTGCGCATGAGCAGGTATCTGATGAGGCGGAGGTTCTAGAAGAGTTTGTGGTTCCTGAGGGGGATGAGGTACCCGAGGATATTGAGGTACTTGAGGATGTTGAGGTACCTGAGGAGGCAGAGCAGGGCTATTCGAAAGGGCCATATGACACCTCCCTTTTGATTTACTATCATGATCATACTGCTCGTCATGTTTGGGAAGGAGAGCTATATTTTTGGTTGCACTTTTTCATTTTATTTTTTTACTCAAAAATACGATTGTAATGATTATTACTTTTTTGTTTCAGGAACGATTGCCCATAAAGCATGTGAATCACTCGCAGAAATTTTTTGATTTGTTTAAACCTGTGGCTCAGTGGTTCCATGATGATGTGTTTGGATCCGGACTTGCCGTATTATGCTGTACATGTTGCAATACTATAAGCACCGACATGCAGGGGGCTTTTGCTGAGAGGTGACACAAAGAGACGTCGTCTTTCCACTTTCCTGTTGGGGAGATGACCATCACACTTGATGATGTTGCTTTCTTGCTCCACCTACCTATCAGAGGCAGGTTACTTAACTATTACAAGATAACACGAGCTGAGGCGATTGAATGGATGGTTGAGTATCTTGGAGTTGATCCATTCAGGGCATTTGAGGACTACATAGCCACTAATGGGGCGAATGTAAAGTTCTCCCACCTGAAAGATCTATATGAGGAGCACCTAGTTACAGCAGCAGGTGCCCAGGATGAGGAGGATGAGGTTTTTGTTCAGTACCACCGAGACTGTGCTATGCGGTGTTACTATATGTTCTTAATTGACACGTTCCTCTTTGTGGACAAAAGTGGGACCTATACGGATGTGGCATACCTCTGGTATTTTATGGACCTGACTATAGTTGGTGAGTCAAACTGGGGGACGCTATTTTGGCACAACTCTACCAGAAGATGCATGAAGCTTCAAGTTGGAAGACGAGACAACTCACTGGGTCATACACACTACTCACGGTACCTTTCATTTCAACTATTAACTTTAATTTATTTTGATTAATTTATACTTACATATTATGTTATTGTTTTCGCAAAGCTGGATCATCTCTCACTTCCACCGGATTCATGGTTTCGAACTAGGTTTGGTTTATACTGACGATATGCCAAGGGCTGCAAAGTATGTTCTCCACAGAGGGAATTATAAAGTGTCGCCTTACCGGTGTATCTTGATCGTACTAATCACGATGACATCAAATGGACGCCATTTGAGGATTACATAGATGTTGTCTCATTTGATTCCATCTCATTATACTCTGGGTGGCTAGTTGTTTACTGTGGAAAATGGTAAACAACCGTTGGTCCTCCCAAAGACCTAAAACTAAGGGTAACTTGCAAGATCGATCAGTTGATCTTAAGACATATGCTAAGAGTTTTGTTATTATACTTATTCTGTCGAAATCCTTGTCAAGAGAAACAGCTTTTCGTGACTAAGGGAACAAATATAACGACTTTCCACATTATGAATCGACCTACTGACTTGTGACTCGTGACCAACAAAAGGTATTTATACGAAAATTATATTCAATAAACTAACTGACTGGTGACTCGTGACCGACAGAGAGCATTGGATTGTTTACGCGAAGTAGAAAATAACTTAAAGATTGTGTTCGATAGTATATAGAAAGCAAATAAAGTATTCAAAATAGATAATTGAAAAATAAAGGATTTGTATTGAAATAAAAGTGGTAATTCACGTACATCAAGTACTTCTTCACTCTTTGTTTCCTAACGCTCGGAATGACAGGGTTTTTACAAGTGATTTGAGCATACAAGTGAACACCCAAAAACTACAACAAATCTGCTTATTTATAGTATTTACAATGCAACTGCCTAGATGAAATCTACGGAGCATATTAAAAACTTGAGATAACCGCTTCACTGGATGTTGCCACCTATTTGGCGCTTTAAACAATTTGTAAGCCACTGGTAACTACTGATGACTTTGAAATTTGAATCTTCCCGCTCCCAGCTTGCGAAAATAAACCACTTCTGACTCGCTTCGACACTTTCCCTTTGGCAAGATTAAAAATCAACAATTCCTCTAAGTCTATAAACCTTTTTAGTTGACAAAAACTAATTTCGATCATTTTCTTTGCCTTTCGCCCTCCGGTCGACTAAACCAATTTCGATCATTTCCTTGACATTTATTCTTTTATTTGCTTCTGGTTGACCCGACTCATTTCCGACAGCTTGGCGTGACCTCCCCTTTAGACAATAAATCTAGTTTAATGAAACCAAATTTCCAAACACTTTGTCCCCAATTTCCCAAAAAACCCCTTATTTCAGAGGATAACCCTTGGCTTATGAGGATATTCTCATTTACTATGCGTGCTTATTTGCCTTAAGATTTTTTAAGGTAACAAAATGAACCCCAGAGATGCCATTTTCGAATTTCTACTCTGTTGTACCCCAAAATTTGCCCTCTCATTTTACTCAATACATACTCCTAGAGATCCTTAATTTGCTCAAGTTTGCCCAAGAGTTGACCAGACAAACTCTCTCCTAAGGCAGTGTGTCTCAAATTAGGGTTTCCATTTTCATTAATATATGTGGACTCCAAAGACCTCATATGCTCTCCATAGTCCTAATATATTCTCAAGACCCTCCATGTCAAATTTCAAGCACTGCACAAGAAGTTTGCTCAGTCAACTGCTCAGGTGCTTGAGAATCGACCGTATTAGGTCAAAAGTCAATTGTGGCCCACATATAGTCAAACTTCAAGATTTTTGGTCAACATCGATATTTTGAAGTGGCTTTCATCATTTTATCAAGAGTTGATCATGATTCTTTAAGGAATGCCCTAAATTCATCAAAACCCAAAAGTTGCTAAATTAGGGTTTCTTAGGAAAAGTCAACCAAACTTTGACCAAGCATAACTTCCTCATACTTTATCAGAAATTTTCCATCTAAGGCTCATTTTGAAGAGGATTCAATTCCCTACAACCCATATTCATCCCACAAGTTCAAAATATGCACTCATAATAAGATATGAATTTCTATATTATAGGTCCTTTTGAAAAGTCAACAAAAACACCTTTTGGATCAAAGCTTCTTACATGGACATGGAAGACCCAATTGAGATGAAACCAAAAGTTTTGTTTAGGGGAAATCCTAATCTTTCTAAAAAGCCAAAGAACACCCTCTTAGGGTTAAAATTGAGGGAGATATGTATTGTCGAAATTGACCAATTTTTGGAAATGTGCATGAAGTCAATATTGATCAAAATGACTTTTTTTTTCCAAATGGGCCCATGTTTTCTTGTTTTAAACTTGTTCCTAAGATGGCCCACAACCTCTGAGCTTATCCACCTATTATTTTATTATTTTTATTATTTATTTTGATTTTTTTATCCATTTAAATCAAAATAAATCAATTTAAATAGTAGAATAATCAAATAAAATCAAAGATTTGATTTTATGAGCATATTATGAGTCCATGAACAGCTAGCAAATCAAAAAATTCGTGCAAGAGCTAATTGATTGGAAAAGATCTTAATTTGGTCTATTTTGGAAACAAATCATACAAGGCAAAGAATGAAATCAAATCTCCATAATTTGCAAAGATATGATCAGTTTTTGTTGACCTAAATCATTCTATCATATATACCTAACATCTCTAAAGCATAAAAAAGGTTTTGGGGTCGTGAAAACAAGGGAAGAAGTTGCAAATTTTGGAAGAAAAAGTGCAGACTGTATTCTCTTCCATAGGTCGTTTCAAGTAATTCCAAAGCCATCAATCTGTTCTTGGACGTGTTCTGAAGCTATTCCAATCATCCTCAAGGCCAAAAACATCAAGAAACACGACTTACAGACCCACGGTTTGCACATACCATCTTGAACTTGATTTTATAATTTACGCATGATTAATCACTTTTAAGCATAGAATTGTGTTTGTATCATCATTTGGCATGTTTTGGTTTAATTAATTTTGCGTTTTGATGCATATATTGATGATCACCATTGTTAGGGTTTGCTTTGCCGTTTTAGGGTTTCTCTATAC